CAAGTAATCACAAGGTCAATGTACAATTACCAATGGTGGCAAGGGTTACAAAGGAGAAGTTCTGGGCAGGGTTGTTACAATGGTGTTTAACAAAGGGCCCAGTCTTTGGATTGGAAGACAAGCAGGAAAGACCCAGCAAGTGTTCCAAGCAGAGGGAGCAGCATATGCAAAGGCCCTGTGGTTCATCCCAGAAATTGTCAGGGCACTGTTGTTGTAGGGAGTGATGGGGAGAGTAGTACAAGAAAAGGCTGCAGAACTTGGTTTGCTTCTGCCTGGCACTGCCTCCTCCATACTCTCTTTATATGACTCATTCATTCTCATCCTTTAGTTCTCAGCTAAGGGCTTTCCTTTTCAGAAAGTCTTTTCTGCCCAACGTGGGCTGAGTGAGGCCTGTGTACCTTCTCCTAATAAGAAAAAGTATCTAAAACTTAGAAAAAAGGCAAAAGGAGGTGGCACTTTCTTTCATTGCCATAGTGGGGCATTGTTTAAAAAGGCCCACTAAAGTTAATTCTACGGAGAATACACCTGAGTTTGACTTTGCTATTTGATTAGGGCCCAGATTTTGTAAAGTTACATGCTACTTTGTGATTTTTGTCCAAAGGAGGTGCAACTGACTTCTGTCTGGTAGAAAAGTGAACTCCCAAAGTACTGTTTAATTGTCCTGAGGAACAGTAACCAGTTTTATATGTAACCTGAACATCTCATTCTCACATTCCTTTTTTGAAAGCCTGTAAATACCCATTTACTCTTGGAATCAGCCTTCGCCTCCTGCTGGCTCACTCATTAATGTGTTCATTCTGTAGTTGTATGCATCATGTTTTATAACTTCCTGGAAACCACACGCTGACACCCCCTTGCCCTAGCAGCGCTTGTGCCTGTGTTGAGACTACCAGATGCTCTGGCTTCCTCATAGCCCATGAGCTTGCAAGGGTGGCCCATCGTTTGTCAACATCAAATCCTCAGAAGTTTGCCCAGGGCCAGGTTCATAGTGGGCCCTTGAGAAATAATTATTGGCTGAATGAGACATCTTGAGCTTATCTCTTTATCTCGGTTTTCTTATCTGTGAAATGGACATCAGAGCACCCATCTTCAAAGGATGTAAAGGTTCAGTGAAGTACAGAATTCAAATGCTCAGGATCCTGTCTGGCACATGGTGGGCTGCAGTCCCCTTTCCCCAGGGCCTGGGTCTCAAAGGTAGGAAATGAAGTTCTGGTGTTGAGAGCGCGTGGTCTGGTTTGCAGGGAGTGTGACTAAGTCACTGGCAGGGGGAAGGGAGGGTGTGACTCACTGTGGAGCGAGGGTGTTCACAGGTGGCTCCACCTGGTATTTGGTGGGACAGGGAGGCTAGTCTGGACAGAGTCCAGTCTGAGGTGGAGAGGAGCAGGAAGTGTCCTCAAAAAGGCCAGGGGTGTAAGGAAGAGGACCCTGAAAACCAGGCTGGGGTGTTGGATTCTCCAACGTTGAGAGTAGGGAGCCATCCTGACTAAGGAGGGAGGGAGGGACTTGGTGGCATTATTTCAGCCAGGAGAGGTGGCCCACCATTGTGAGCTTCTCTGAGAACCTAGCTTTGGTGTCTGCGTGTGAATGTGTGTGTGAGCATGTGGGCGTAAATGTGTGGGCGTGAATGCGTGTGAATGTGAGAGTGTGCTTGTATGCAAATGAGCGAGTGTGTGAACGTGTGAACATATGTGCAAGTGTGTGGATGTGAATGTGTGAGTGGTTATGTGTGTGTCATTGTGCATGAACGTATGCAAATGTGGGGTGTGAACATGTGTGTGAATGTGTGTGGGGTGAAAGAGTTTGCATGTGTGTGACTGTCTATGGGTATGAGTAAACGTGTGTGGATATGTGTGTGTGTGTGTGTGTGTGTGTGTGTGTGTTGACTGCCCTCTGCCCCATTCTGTTGCAGAGTCTTCGCTCTTGTCTCTATTTAACCTTCACTAGAAGTCCCTGAAATGAAGACATCTACTGTCCCATTTCCCAGGTGACCAAACCAAGTCTCAGAGGGTGAGGACTGTGTGTGCAGCTGCCTCTATAATGCTGGGTAGAGGGGGGAGGGGTGTGGGTATAGGGTGAGTGGGGAGTGGGGGCGAGTAATTAAGGGATTCTCAGTAGATGAAGAGATGACAGATAAGTGGTTTATCCGTGTAGTCAGCCTTGGTTTTCATGCCCATTTCAGCACTTTTTCTTTCACGGTTTTATGTGCTATTTTGGTCACTGGAATGCTATCTTTCAAATGCACTCAGCAACGCTCCCTGAGTCCCTCACCTGAGCCAGGCCCTGGGCTGGGTTTGGGAACCAAAGATGAGGCACGGACACCATCTTTAAGGAACTGTCAGGTTGGGGCAGGCATCAAAGGTGGGGGGTTGAATCCCCAGCGGACAAGGCACCAGTCTTTTTAACACTTGGAGGTGTAACTTATACACAGGGAGATGCAGACCTGTTAAGTCCACACTGATGGGTTTTTACATCTGCAGGCCTACACATAACCACCACTCGGAGAAACAGAACACCCCATCATCCAAGGGCCCCTCTGGCTCCTCCCCATGATGTCCCCTCCAAGGCTAGCCCCCTTCTGTCACCAAGGTTTTGCCTGTGTCTGAACATCTGGGGCACATGTGTTTTGGGAAAACCGTTTTGATTTGATAATCTTCCAAACAAACCCGGACCCTGGTCAAGCACAATGCCATAAGGGATGGGCGCAGTGGGGACCCAAATAACGGCAGGCCAAGCCCTGGGGAGGCCCAAAGGTACATCTGCTGGCTGGTGACCAGGCAGGTGACCAGGACGGTCCTGACGCTGACACTTTGGGGTTGAGACCACGTGCTGTTTCCTGGCTCCTTATGGAGCTCAGTGCACCCTAACACTGTCTGTGGCCCCCGCTGTCTCTCCGGCAACCCCCAGAACTCCATCTTGTCCACCCAGTGCTCACCTACACCCACAGACGCACCACTTCCTTGATGGCGGCCCTTGAACAAGATGGGTAATCTCTCTGTGCTTCAATTTCTCTATTAAATGGGGGATAATTATAGTGCCTACCTTATAGGTTTGTTAAGAGAATGGAGTGAATTGATATTAAATAAGTTAACAAGAGTTTAAGAGACTGTTGATACATAGTAAGTGCTTATGTCAAAATTAAATAAAGTAAATAAATTTGATCCAACCTTGGCTGGTGGGAATACGCTAAAAGACACAGGGCTTTTCCAGTTGGGCATTAGGATCTTGAGGGAGGGCAGAGATTTTCCTGATCATCATGTAAAGTGGGCAGGGGCTGCAGCTGGTCTCTGGGTCCTCATGGAGGGGGTGGTTCCTTTCGTTCTCTTTTGCTCGAGGAACCCAGAGGAGGTGCCCGATAAATGCCTGACTGGTTTCCTGGCTGGCAGGAAGAGGGTCAGTTGGCTTTTATCAACTTTCATTTCGCCCGCCAGTCCTGCAGTCCTAGAGATTTGGGCCATAGAGGATCCTGACCCAGGTGCTGCATGAAATACTTCCCCAGGTCTCCTTACCTGCACATAGAGCCTTCATCCCCACCTTCCCAGAAAACAGAAGGCATTTCCCCGCCCACTCAGCCTGGATTCGTGCCTTGAATACCTCATCCTCACAAGTAGCACACAGATTGCACAGAGAGCTGAGCTCTCCATCATAGCCAAGGTCCTGGCCTGTGAGGCAGGTGAACTCTCAGCCCTGCAGGAGGCTCCTTGCCTCAGGTGTCCCTGACCACATGGACCAGGCTAAGGGCTCAGCGACGGTCCCGGGTGAACTTGTGGAGCAGAGCACAAGTTCCAGTTCAACTAGGGATTTGTTGTGTGAGATTGGCCAGGTCACATACACATCCTGAGCCTCAACTTTCCTCCTCTGCAAAATGGGCACGAACACCACTGACAGCGATAAGAAATAAACAAGGCAGTACAGTGTGGTGGGGAAGAGCCAGCCTCCTTAGGTTCAAACCCTGGCTCTGCCATGGGACACTAAGGAAATCACTTAACTTCTCTGTGCTTTGGTTTACTCATCTGTAACATAGGGATAACAAGAGTTCTACCTTACATTGTGGTTGGGAAATTAAATAAATTAATAACTGTAAAGCACTTATCATATTACCATATTACATAGTCAGTAACAATACATGATATATTGATATTAGCTCAGGGGTTAGAAGTTGGGCTCTGAAATTTGAGTCCCAGCAACATCACTCATTAGCTGTGTGACCCTGTATCAGTTACACCCCCTCTCTGTGCTTTGTCTATAACAGGAAGTCAATAATGTTACCTACCTCAAGTTGTGAGGTTTATAAGAGTTAATCAATGAAAAGTGTCAACACATAGTAAATACTAAATATTATATGATTGTCATTTATATTATTTATAAACTAATGGAGGGGAGGTAAGGAAGCTAATATTTATTGAGCACCTACTACATACTAACACTCGACATGAATCATTGGGCAAGGGTGTTCTAGGACAAGCACATTAGCTTTCTGCATTGAGAAGAGGAGGAAAGTGATGTCCTACTTGTCCAAGATCCCATGGGTTGTAAGGGTGACCAGACCCTGATGTGCAATGTTTAGGGCGGGAAGGAAAGACCCAATGCTTAGTGAAGGACTGCATGTGCCAAGCATGAGGCTTGGGGCACCATGACTCCCTTTCATCCCCACAGTAACCCTGGCTCGGGGTATTATTGTTCCCACTGCACTGATGACAGGCCTGAGACTCTCTAGATGAGTGGTTTGAATTCCCACAGCTATGAAGTGGCAGAGTTGATTCAGACTCAGTTGTCTGTAGGAATTCTACTTACAAAGGTGTCTTGGGCACCTTCTGTGACTCCTTACAGAATGACTCTCGCTGAGCCAGAGAAACAAAGTCTTTGTGTCTATTTAAAATCCAAGAGAGAGGACCCAACGCTGAGATCATTGCCAAGCCCGAGGGCCACAGGTGGTTGTCTCCTAGGCTCCTGGGGCTAGGGGACAGACTCACAGACACAAGGACACTCAACACCCACAGGGGTCATTGTTACCCAGAAATCTTTATTACAAAAATATTTTGCAAGCCAAAAAGTTTAAGTTGCAACTATATACAAAATGGGGCCTGTTTCCTTCCCAGCAGTCTTAAAATAAACTCCCAAAACCACGCTCCTTCCGAACTGTTGTTTTAACCTCTTCCTTTTCCTGGGGTTCGATACACAAGGTACGAGCATCTCCAGGCTGCCAGGCTGGAGCTAAATCTACACGGCTTCCTTGGCCTCATTCCTTTAGTCCCCTTCCAAAATTCAAAATAAAATTAAATTAAAATGGCACCAAGAAAACATTCTTTTAAGATTCTATGTGCATGTGTGTATCTGTGTGTGTGTGTGTGTGTGTGTGTGTGTGCGCGCGTGCTCACACACATGTGCTCTCTCTGGGCAGAAGAGAGGGAGACAAAGGTTTACAAGCCAACCTTTTGGAATTTGGAAACAGCCCGAGCCAGGTGGCTGGGCCCCTGCGCTCCCACATGCCACAGAGAAACTCTGGCTCGTCGGGCCAAAGCTGCCCACATGGCCCGTTGGCTCAGCTCATTCCTGGATATCAACATGTAAAACACCAAATCACTGTCCCCCAGAGAGCCAGGTCTGCGCTAAGCTCCCGGAGTTCCACCTGCAGGGCATGCTGACAGGCAGGATGGCTCAGCTTTTCGCTCTGATGATCCCTGGGGCATCGAATGGCTGAACCCAGGTGGGTGGGTGGTTGGGTGGGGCAGTGAAGATTAGGGTCCAGCTCTAAGAGCTGATCAGGTACAGGTGAAGACTGAACACACACACAGCGTGCAACATTTGCTTGCCCTCGGCCCAGCCAGGCCCCCACACCAAATTGGAAGGGTAGGGGTCAGAAGATAATGGGTCATAGCCTCTGCCCAACCTCCTGAGACAGAGGGACAGGAAAGCAGGTCAGTCCTGGCTTCTCAGCTGCCCAGTCCTCCTGGCTGTCTTGGATGTTTTCCAGTTTGATCCCAATAGGGTTTGAGAGCAGAAATGCAGGATTCCTCCTGCAGAGAGCAGCTCAGAGAGCTGGAATGGGGGAAGGTCTCTAAAGGAGTGGGGGAGATCGCCAGGCAGGGATTCCTTCCCTGCATGGCCCTAAAGTGCTTGTGAGCGATGGCGGGGGAGGGGCGGGGAAAGGCGTCTTTCCTCTCCCCTCCTCCCAGGTGAGAAGACTGAGGCATTAGGTCTCAACAAGACTGCATGGTGAAGGAGGCAGCCTGGAGAAGCACTGGCCGGTTTGGACTTACCATGCTGGGGGCAGGAAGGCAGTAGTACCAGCCACGTAGCTCGGCTGAGAGCGTGGCCATTTAGTCCTAAAGAGAAGGCTAAGCGTCTCCATGGAGCAGCCAAACTGGAACCTTCTTCCCCATCCGCAGGGCTCTGGGACGTGGAGGAAGTCAGTTTCTGCTGTAGGATCTTCCCTCCAGGAAACCAACTGCTAAACCTTAAACGGCACAAGACCCAACCATGGACTTCAACACATGACAAAGAGCCAAGATAACGCTGCCGTTGTTTTAAGAAAAACAAAACAAAACAAAACAAAAAAAACAAACAAAAAACGAAACAAAACACCACAGATCAAATTTTCTAACACCTCAGTTTCAAGATTGCACGTTTCACATTTCTCAATAATTTACAGGCGTCCACAGCGAGATGTTGCTGAGTTAGTGCTAGCTGGAGGAAGCAAGCTCGGGTCTAGAAAGGAGAGGCAGGTCCACGTGGAGTGTCACCGTCAGGACGCTGGGTCTTCAAGGAGTCTCAGAGGGCAGGAGGAAGAGGGTCTTGTTACTCAGTCCTTGTGATGGTGGAGGGCTCCTCGGAGGGTCCTTTCGTCCCCAGGGATGGGGGAGGCCAGGACTGTTGGCAGCAACCTCACCGAGTCTCTGGATGCGGTCTCAGATTTTTTCTCCCCAGCTTCTGCATGGATGGGGCAGTTCGATCTAACGAGAAAACTTTTCCCAAAACCACAGTTGGGTGGTGGTGGTGGTGGGAGAAGAGGAGGTGGGGGTTTTCTCCCTCCTCATCCTGGAAGATCAGGCTACAGAGCATCAAGGAGGCCGTCACGGGTCACCCAGAACATGACCAAGGCCCACGATTGATGGAGAGAGGCATGAGAGTTTTTGGTCCTCCGGCGGCTCTGGCCCGTTCCCTGGCTGGTCTGGCAACATCAGTCTCCATGAGTGGCAATGTGGGAGGCTGTGGCCACCCTGGAAATGCTGGAGAGCCAAGCGGGTTGGGGAGATAAGAGCCAACCTCATCCTTGGGTCCCAGGACCTGTGCCACCCTGGTCCTCTGGAAACTGGGCTGACTGTCCTCATTACGCCTGCTCCACGTGGGACAAGAAAGCTCGTGGACACAGACCCAGAGACAGTGTAGGCCCTGTTCACTTCCTCTTGACCTGGACGCTGGCGTACTCTGAGTAGGATGGCTCGGGCTTGGGGGCTGGCTGCTTATGGGCCCGGTTGAGGTGGACCATGTCCAGGTCGGCATAGGTGAGGGTGTCGTCGGGCTTGGGCGGCGGGACAGCCTGAATGCTGGCATATTCCGTGTGGTTGTTTGGCTCAGCAGCCCGGGGGGCTGACTTCTTCCTCTTGGGCAGGTTCAGGTCTGCATATGTGATGTCGTTGTTGTCCTGGACCTAAAGGAGACGGAAAGAAGGCGATTCTGGAGCCCCAGCCTCCCACCCACTCATTGGGACCATGTCTGGATGCTTCTGTCTCCTCTTGGCACCCACTGGCTCCGCTCTCCTTCACGCCCAGCTCCTCTCTGGCCACAGCCCCCCAGCCTTACCCTTCTAATCCACCACCCTCCTCACACAGCCTGGAGAACCTTCCTAAACGCTCAGTATGGTCACCTCAAAGACCTGACTCAGTGTCACCCCCTCCCACAGTTCTGTCCTGCCTTGTCAACGCTCCTCCACCTGCCTAGTGTCCACCCTACTCCTTATACTCATAATGAAACCCAGTCCACTCTGCACATTTAAGCACAAGCATCACTTCATCCTGAAGTGATGGTCCAGGGTCTGGTCCAGGGTTCCTTCTCTGTGCTTCCTCAGCCCAGTGTTTCTCCATCACAGCACCCACCACCTAGGAGTGTGTCTGTGTGGGGGTTTTGAGTAGATACTGATCCCCCAGTGGGTGGGGACATGCTTTCATTTACTCGTTTATTCAACAAGTATTCACTGGGCATTTGTCATGTTGCAGAAACCAAGGCTGGTACAGAAGAAGCCTGATCATTGTTGAATGAATGAATGCAGTAATTTCAGCCCCACTCAAGGTGAAGCTGGGGACTGGGAGACAGAGATAGGGACATGTGAGGATGAGACACTAAATAGCAGGGTGGTAAAGGTTCTGTAGTCAGAAGCCTGGAGTTTGAATCCCGGATCTCTCTAGCTGAGGAACTTTGGGCAAGTCACTTAACCATTCTGGGCCTCAGTTTCCCCACCTGTAAAGTGGGGGATAATAATTGTGTCTATCACCAGGGTCGCCGTGAGATGAAATCATCCAAGGAAAGCTCTTAGAAGGGAGTCCGGCACCTACTGAGAGAGCACGTATGTTCAATAAATGGCCGTAATCAACAGCCACTCAGCAAACCTGAACATCTATCTCCTATGTGCTAATCTTATCTAATCCACCACTGAGCCTTAAAATTACCCATCAGGAGTGATAAACTTTTCTCCTTCAGTGCCCGGCACCTATGCTGCAGACGCAGAGAGGAGCTGCCGACAATGGGAACTCCTGGTTGGTGCACAATAATAGCCACAGATCTAAGTTGCCAACAGCTTATAAGTACCGTGCTATCACCTGGACCACCTTATTGAGGCCCTGTCACAACTCTGCTTGGTAGGCAATTTTGTAGCCCATTTTACAGGTGAAGAAACTGAGACCCAGGGAGGTGAAATAATTTGGTCAAAGTCACACAGCTGGAGAAGCATCACAGTCAGCTGGATTCTAAAGCTGTGGTCTGATCACAGTGCTCCTTCATCCCAAACCCTGCGCGCTCACACTGCTCAGAAACCCACACCAGCAACATTAAATCCTCTCCCTGGCAAGGGCTGGCACCTGGCATCAGGAATCCCAGACACAAGGCTCTAAGTGCCACAAGGGCTGGGTTGTGAGTGCCCTGCTCACTGCCCAGGGCCAGGCACATAGTAGGTGCTCAGTAAGTCTTTGCTGATTGAATTTTACACAGGTTTCAGTGGCCAGCTCTTTTTACCGTCATGCTTTCCCTGGAAGGTTCCAGAAAGAAAAGTCCAGAGGTAAAATGACGGGGGAGAAGGTCTCCCTATCCCATGATTGGAAATTGTCTTATTTGTCTAATTACCACCCAAGTTCATGGCCAGGGCCGCTGGGGGGGCCGCACTGGGTCAGGAGAGCAGCCACAGCGTTTTGTCCTATAAACATTGTGCCTTTCACCAGCCCTGACTCTCTTCAACAGATTCCATCTACAATGATGACAACAGCCAGGGAAATGTCAAGGACAGCTGGCGCTCTCTTGTTCCAGGTTCAGGGCAGGGCCTGTCTTGTTACAAGACGCAGGGGAGCCCTCTGCCTCCGAGGTCTGACAGCGTTAGCCGGCAAGGAGCAAGGCTAGGTTTCTCGGAAACAGGCCAACCGTGCTGCCTGTGAAATCTCCTCAGCAGTGATGAGGAGACACTGCCAGCGGGAGGGAGGGTGTCCTTGCAGGAGGTAATTAATGACACAGGGTCTGTCCATCAGCAAAGGCAAGAGAGGCGCTGGCAGCCCTGTGTGTAGTCCGTGTGAGGAACAAGGCGGAGCTAGGAGTGAGCTGGGAAGGGTGCTCCTGCTGGAGGGACCGGCCTGGGCAAAAGCTCGGAGGCAGGATGGCACAATCCACACTAAGGAAGGCTGCAGCCTGACTCCATTTACACAGAGCACATTGCGAAGGGGGGCCCCACCCCCGGAGTTGTGCAATGGGTGGTGCTGAGTCAAGGAGGCAGAGACAGACTTTCCTGGCTGGAGCCGAGAGGGAGAATGTGCAGAGGACAAGGCAAAAAGGAGGAATGTAGCGATCCTCCACCCTCCGCACCCTCCCGCCCTGGGGAAGGAGTCTTAATTTAGAACAGGATCTGCAACTCTGGTTGATGTGAGAAAATCACACCATCGCGTGTCCCAGGAAAGGCACCTCACCAAGGATTGTACCTGGGTTGCTTCTCTGGCGTTCTTCTCAGGCTCATGCAACCTAAAAAGGAAAGAGACACACAGATAAAAATATCCCCTCTATCTCAAGTGCTCATGTAAATTGATAAGAATAACATTGAGGCTCCACTTCCTATATGGGTGGAGGACATGATGAGTGGTTCACAACAGAAATACAATTGCTTATCAAATGTTTGGACAAAAGGGTCAGTCTCACTAAAAAGGAATTTTAAGCAATGCACTGTCAAATTTTTTTTTTAAACCTACTGTATCAGCAAGGATCTTTCAAAATTATAATACTCGGTGTTGGGGAAGATGTGGTGAAACTGGCACATTCATACATTGCTGGTATAAATCTTTTGGGAAGCAGCTTAGCCAAATCAAGAGTAGGAAGCTGTTTGCACCTTTTGACTCATAATTGTATTTTGGGGATGGGGGGTAGGAATTAAAAATATAAAAAAAGCTTTATGCGCAGAGGCATCTATTCCAGGGAAGGGTGGGGGAGGGAGGTTTACATCTTACAGCTCTGCCAATTGTGACTGGTTAAAGAAATTAGGAGTGGTAGGCTCATAGATAAAGATTTAAAAGGTTTATGAAGAGGTTTCCTTTTTTATTACAAATGATTACATTTAAAAGATGAATGAAAAAGCAAAATTCTCAGTGGAATGATCTCACTTATGAAAAATGTGTAGATAACACTGGAAAGAAACACAGTAAAATGCTAACAGCAGTGGTCTTCGGGTGGTATTTTTTTCTTTTCTTAAAATTTCCCACATTCTCCAAATGTTCTATATTCTACACATCTAGGTGTTATCATTAAACAAAGAAAAAAGAAGGGCCGAGCGAGTGGCTCGTTGGTTAAGAGTAGGCTTGGGAGCGCAAGCTCTGAGCAGCAGGACTGCCGGTTCGGATCCCACATGAGCCAGTGATGCTGCGCCCTCTACAGCTAAGATGATGAACAACAGCTCGACCTGGAGCTGGGCTGCTGTGGGTCGCTGGCGATGGCGTAGGCTGCAGTGAGCTCCCGTAAGCTACTGTGAGTGGCTGGCAGCCGGCATGAGCTGCCAAGAGCCGCTGTTAGCGGCTGTGAGCTGCCATGAGCCGTCCAATGGCCAGCAACCCATCTGCCTCAGCCGAGAAGAGTGCAATGATCACAATACCAACTTGGGCCAGTGAAGCAATATCCCCTACAACTAGACTGAAGAACAAAAGGACAGTAACTTGTCTGTTCCCATTCCTCAGTTCCCCAACGCTGTTTCCTCCCCCAATTCCCCAATAAAATCTTTAAAAAAAAAAGAAAGAGAAAAAGAAAAAGAAAAGAGAAGAACCAAGTGCCCTGGTTAATCAAAGAAGCTGTTCATGCATGTGATTCTATAATTGGAGGCCGTGGCTTGGCTCACTGCAGGGTCATGGTCAAGGTAGTGAGCAGACCAGAGCCACTGGTTCTGCAGGAGTTGTGTAAAATCTCCAGCTGGCAACTCTGGAGATGTTAGCCTGGATAATGTCATAAATGAGCAATGGGGCTTGGCAGCAGGGTTATGAATGGATTTGGCATGAGTACTTGGCTCAGAAAGCAGTTCTGGGGCATGACAGGCCCCACATGGCCACAGAAACGGCCCTCCAGGAGCAGGGACAATGTCTGGTAAGGAAGGTCGCTCAGATCTATACACACCCCTCCTGCTTCCAACCCTTCTGGCACTCCCACTGCCTTGGGTTTGAGTCCAACTCATCAACCTGCTTGTAAGCCCCATGGGGTCTGGCCCCTGCTAACCTTCCTCTCGCCTCATCCCCGCCGCTCCGCCCAGACACATTCACTCCTTTGCCCTCATTTATCCACTTACCCACCCACTAAATATTTCAAGATGGCTACTTTAATGCGATGCACTTCGTGTGTCAACAACTGTCCTGCATGGCCCTTTTGACCACTTTTTTTCTTGGTTAACTTCTGTGTATCCTTCAAGTCTCAACTATGGTGTCATGTCCTTGGGGAGGCTTCTCTGGCTATGCTGGCCTGGCTGGGCTGCCCCTCCAAGACAATTTCAAACCTCCTTGCACATCTTCCCATCTGGTTTACGCGTCTGTCTGTCTGCCTGCCATGCTTCCTCACCACACGGGTGCTCAAAAAGTGTTCAAAAGCAACTTGGAATGAATGCCAGTCAGGCTGCCCCAGGGCCTTTGCACTCTCAGTTCTCCTTGCCTCTTCATCTAGGTCACTCCTTCTCTTCCCTCAGATCCTGTTTCAAATAGTCCTTTCTTGGGAAAACCTTCACAGAACCTGCATTCTCAGAACACTGGGTTCCCTTCTTTCAGAGCAATATTTCCTACAGGAAGAAATTATCCTTTTTTTTTTTCATATTTGTTTCTCCTCTCGTCTCTCCGATCTCAGTGAGTGGCTCTGCTATTACTCACCCCTGTGGTCGGGCTAAGGAAGTGGGAACCCTCCCTGAGTCTCCCTACTCCTTCTTTACAACCCATGTCTAATCCACCACAAGGCTTGTTGACTTTGCCTCCATAGGACATATCAAACCCAACCACTCCATCACTCCCATCATCCCAGCTCCCTAGGTTCCTGAGGTGCCTCCCTGTGTCCCTGAGCACCATTCCACATGTAAAATGCATAAGCGATGTCCATCTTTTTTCCTGGCTCAAAACCCTAACCGCTTCTCCCCACACGCTGATGTCCACCTCCATATCCTGACTGGCGAGGAGACCCACATGAGCAGTTTGCTCCAACTGCTCCAGGCACCCATCTCTCTCCCCCTGGCTCACTCCGCTCCAGCTGCCCTGGCCTCCTCCATGGTCATGAAAGTGTCCAACTGCTCCTGCCTCGGGGCCTTGGCACTGGCTGTTCCCTCTGCCTCGTCCACTCTGGCCCCAGATATCCCATGGCGGGAGCCTTCTTGTCCTTTAGCTGTCTTCTAAATGTTACCTCCTCAGACCAGCCTTCCCTGATCATCCATTGCACCCCTCTCCTGCTCTGCTCTGTACCCAGCTTTATTTTATTTAGTCAGCACCTGCGTCATGCTGTGTATTAACCTCCCGGCTTGTCTGCCTCCCGATGGACTGACCGTGAGCTCAATGTGGGCAGAGACGAGGCCTGCCTCCTTCACCACTGCAGCCCCGACACCTGGTAATGGGCCGGTGCCTCGTTAGCTCACCACCGACATTTGTGGAGTGAATGAATGAATAAACATCTCTCTCATGGCATCAAAAGTGCCATGAAACCTGGGCTTGTGTTTTTTTTTTGCTCCCCTTTACAATCCTCCAGCTTAAGGCCTGGCACAGAGCTGGGCTCAATCAGATGAATAAATGAAAGGATCAGGGAAGCCCTAAATATTCCAAGAATAAACGCAGTGAATGTCTGACAAGCGAACAAGTAGCCAACCGAATGAACCCCAGTGCCCAATTAACGGAGCAGACACATTTTTCTGTCGTCTGAGCTGGGGAAGATTACAGACGATGGTCTGCCTGCATGTTCCAAACCCAGGGAGCTGGAAACAGCCAGTCCCCCCACCAGCCCTGCAGCCGGAAGGGCCCTTTGAGCTCAAAGCGGCGGCACCCCCCCCCTTGGCACCCTCCCTGTGGTGCTCGGTGTTACCCATGCCACCGCCACCATCCTCTGGAAAGCGTCTGATCCCAGCCAGCCGAGCAGAAGCAGCTGCTACATGGGAAACCACCATTACCGCTCACTAGCTATTGCTTTGCTTTAGAGAGATGAAAGGGAGCAAGTGATCTCACGGCTCCCTGGGTAAGCTCACGCTGAAAAAATAAAATAACAGGCAGAAAACGGTTGGCTTCTCTGGGGAAAGAAGAAATAGGCAGCAAGAAGCCCGGGCACAGACAAAAAGTGTCAGCTTCAGTGTCAGAGACATCTGGGTGGGAGTCGCAGTGCCAGCACTTAGGACCTCGGGAACCTCACACGACATCGCTGAGCCTCAGTTTCCTCAACCACACACAAAGACAATAATAACCTTCTAGAACAGAAGTTCTCAAAAGTCTGGCTTGGGAGCAGCGGTATCAGTGCCACCTGAGAACTTGTTAGAAATACAAATTCTGCATCAGAAACTCTGGGGGTGGGTGGGGACCAGAAATCTGTGTTTTAATAAACCCTCCAGAAGATTCTGCTACACACTCAAGTTTGAGAACCACTGTTCAATTAAATTGGGATAATAGGAAATCATAGGGTCTTTTGTGATCATTAAAATCACCAACCGGCTGATAAAGGTAAAGGCATAGGTCGGTTCCTGGAACACAGTGAGTCCTCGACAAATGTTAGCTGCTGATGCTGTGGTCATTATTACTGTGGACACTGCCCTTTTCTTCCAGAACTTATTGTCTAATTGAGGAGATAACACAAGCTAAAAAAAAAAATGACAACAATAAAAACAAAACAAAAAAGGGAGATACTTGAATATTTGGGGCCGTGAAACCACCAAGAGGGAGAGTTTTAGGGATTCAGAAAAGGAGGAGGTGGGGATTGCTGCAGCAGTTTGGCATGGCATCCATTCATTTATTCATTCATTTGTTCATTACTGAGCACCTATTCCATTGTAGGCACAGTGCCATGTTCAGCAGCTATTAGCAGTGAACATGAAGGACATGGTCCTTGCCCCCAAGAGGAATGGGTTATAATCTGGGGACATGTGCAGAGACAGCTTGAACACATCAGGATGTCAATACAGGGGCACCAGGAGAGCTCACAGGAGGAGCTCCTGGTTCAGAGGGAGGTAATGCCCTTGCTGAGTCCAGAAGGAAGAGCAGGAGGTAACCAGGTGAAAGGAGGGGTGCCTGCGCGAGCTTCCATGTCTCACAACTCCAGGGGGTGCTGTTCCCAGAGCCCACTGTAACTGCTTCCCCCCAGGAGTGGTGGAGACCTCGGGTGGTGCGTGAGCACATCTCAGGGAGAGGGGCCAGCGCACAAGGGCTGGGAGGAGAGCGAGGCTGCCGCACGTGGTGCACGAGTGAAGGGAGTGCAGCATGGCTGAGCCACAGAATTTGAACGCTGGGGAATGGCTGGAAGTGAAACTGCCTAAGTCAGCAGGGGCTGGATCACGAGGGGCTTGAGGGCCTCAGGAGGGCATCTGAACTATCTTGAGGGCCACGAGAACCACTGAAAGTTTTTAGGCAAAGGATGGAAGCCATGTTGTGCCCTTGAAAAAGACTGTACTTGCTGTGCACACACACACACGGCACCCCACTGCCCCCAACCTTGGGATTGTTCTTGACTCTACATCCAATCCATCAGCAAGTCCTCACGGCTCCAACCCCGAAACGTATCCAGAAGCTGACCATTTCTCAGCCCTTCCCACCACGCTGGTCCAGGCCACCATCATCTGCGCGGCCCGTTACAGCAGCCTCTGCCCTGGCCTCTCTGCCTCCTTCCTCACTTTCTATAGCCTGGTCCCCACACGACACTCAGGGTGATACTTCTAAAACAAAAGTCAGATCATCTCCCTGCTATGGCTTCTCATCCCACTGGGAAGAAAGCCCAAGTTCTAACCGCCACAGGCCCTAGACCACTGGCCTTCACTCCAGGTCCCTCCGTTCCTGCTCTGGAATTCTGAACGCCACAAAGCTCTAAACATTTCAGAGCTGTGCAAAACCCATTTGGTGGCAAAATCTGAACCAACATGAAGCTATTTATAGTTGTTGTTTTTTATTGCCCTTAGTATAGATGTTCGTATATTTCCAAGCAGGCACATTCACGTGGTAGATCGTGGGGTGCTGCTTTTACTCCACCGGGGTGAATATCAGGGGCCTTTTTAAAAGCTGAAAAGTCTGGATGAGTCACACATCTGGCTGCACGGGCTTCAGCTAAGAGGCTGTGGGCCTGCAGCTCCCTGCCCTCGTCTCCTGCCCTTCCTTGCTTCTGTCGCAGCCACACAGGCCTGGTCTGTGCCTCCTGGCACATCTCACCTCGGGCCTTAGCCACCCCTGCTCTGTCGCTCAGCACACACCTCTGCTTCACAGCTCCCTCGCTCAGGGCCCTGCTCACACCCCCTCTTCAGAGGAGGCCCCTTCCCCTGCCTAAGATAGCCATGCAACAAATCTCCATCCCTTCGCTGTGTTTGATTTGTCACCACCTGACATGACACTATATATCATTTTGCCTCTACGCTTACTGCCTGCTGCTTCTCTCTCCGGTGTCTGAGTTTCATTTAGGTCTCGTACTGACTCTTGTTCACTGCTGTATCCTCATCACCCAGAACAGAGCTGGCACATAGTAGGGACTCAGTAAAAATCACTGAAAACATGAATCAATAAACTAATGCACCACCTGTGATGTAATATCATCGCCTTAGCCTCTGATCAGGGCATGGGTTTCAGGAGGGCACACAGGCTTCCTATCCTACCCACCCAGCATTCCCAGGGCCACCCATGCCAAGGTACTCAATAAATATTTAATGAATGAAGGAAAGAGCAAAGTATACAACTTGGATCTGAGGGCGGCGTGTGCAGGAGGAGGCTTCTGCCACAGTCCAAACAGGATTTGAAAAGAGTCTCGCTGTCTGTGGACAGCACACAAGAAATCAGTACCTCTCTGTATGGAAATCCATTTAAATCCCCTCATTTGAGACCGTAATTAAAAAGGGGCCTGGCACAAGAAGCTTATAAAGGAAAGGCATAGAAAGGTTGGCTGGCACAGGTGTGAGGGTCAGTGGGTGTGGATTATGCTTTGCAGTGTTGGGGGCTGTCAGACAACTAAACAACAACTGGAAAAGCATCCTAGTGCAGCGATGCACTTACCTTGTAGAAGAAGTGGAGCCCTTGGCTGAAAGACAAAAGAAACAAAAGCTAGTTATTTAACTTAGAAACATATTTTTCGTATGTAACTTTTTCGGGGGGAGAGCAAAGGTTTGCCTACAGTGACATTGGGAGAAATTGTTGAGATCATATCCTTCCAACCACAGGAAGCCCTGTGCTTACCCCAATGAAGTGGTCCATTATCATTTATCGAGGAAGACAAGTGGCTGGGCCTTCTGGCGTTCTCACTGCTGGGAATTGCCAAAGGTCATATGCAAAAGCAGCCCTCAGCCTGGGAGGGGCCACCTGCCCTACCTCTGTGTGGGCTGCACTTTCATTCACTACATGCCTTACCTGAGACCCTAGAGCAAGCCTGGGTCCCAGTCCGGGCCGCTCGGTGCTGGAGAACATATTCTAGCAGGGCTGCGAGCTGGGGGAGCAGGTGTGAATCCCACTTCTGTCACCAACTTGCTTGCTGTATGCCCCTGGATGGGTCATTTCCCCTCTCCGAGCTTGGATCTCAGCTCTCTAACTCAGGATTATGCTGGACACGCATTTATTTTCATGTGACCAAAAAAACAGTCTTGGGAGGACATAAAGGGTCCATCTGGTTCAGAGATTTTTAAACCTGTGACATGGGGCCTCCTACAGAGAAGCCACCAGGGTTCAGCCACCATTTGACTCAAATTTCACTGCAAAATTGTAATTAAAGAGCAACATGTACACTCAAATGTGCTCGGCACCACATGTCAACAGGCTGGAGGCTGCCACAGTGCAAGAATTCTCGCTGCCAGGTTAATGCTGGGTGCCTGGGCAGGTATCGGATTTTTAGGTGAGTGGGCACCAGTTGGGAAGGTTGCAGCTCAGCATCTGATGTTTGAATGGAGGCTGATGGGTTGAACAGTGTGAGGCACGAGTCATCTCAGCCAGTCCAATGATAGGACACCAATTCTTCCTGTTTCATACCAAAGAGACTGAGTGACTCCTTAGGGTCACAGGCCTTGTAACTAGAAGTGTTGAAATTATGGTATTTTACTATGAATATTGAGGTAGAGGATGGGCGGACCCATCCAGGAACCAATGAGGGAGAAGGGTGATGTGGGTCCCTGGGGACTCACTGCCAACGTTTGAATCCTGGCCCCACCACTTACCAGTTGTGAGCAAGCTCTATGTTTCCCATGCCTCGGTTTCCTCAGATGTAGACGGGGTTAGTAATACTACTGCAGAGGCCTGTGGTGAGAACAGTGCCTGGCACATCGGATCTGAGCGAGTGCTAGTTGTCACTGTCAGTGGAGCCTAGGTTTGAGAGCCGGGCTCTGCACATACACAGACCCACCACTCAGGGGCTGGGTGGCTTGCACCCGTGTCTGGAGCTCTCCGAACCCCCATTCCTCCTCTGGAACACCCAGTCACTTATGCCTAAGCCCACAGTAATGAGCTCGCATACACCGGGAGGGACATGGTGCTCAGGGATGAGCCTCTAAAGGGGGCTGAGATTTCACTGATGGCCACTGTGAATGCTCCATCTGATGGGCAGGCTTGTCACCCTTGATGGGCAAGGGA